CAAAAAAATCCCATAAGAAAACCAAAACTAATTGTGTTAGGATGTGAGGATGGGTTGGAGGGAGACTCAGCTTCTTCAGTCAGTGCAGGAAGTGGAGATGTTTTGTGGTTACTTGGACATGTGAGGTCCAGGAGAGGTCTTCTGTGATCTGCCCCCTCACTTTGTGCTGTTGACCCTCTCTACAGTGCGGTCAGCGTGCATCTTTCTGCCCAGTAACCTGCAGTTCCCAAACTTTTACCTTAGAATGGAGGACTATTGAATGTATGTGTCAATGTCAAGCTGTCAAAAAAAGCCTTCACTGAGTTGTCTCTGTGGAAGGAATAGGACTCTGGGGTGTTTTTTTTTTCTTGTGCTGTGAGTGAAATCTCTCAGAAAATAATTTATTTTCCTTTTTCGTTGATGTGCGAGCACGAGTTAGGTTTACCTGTACTTGTGAAAGTTGGTCTCCATGAATAAATAGACTGTGTGCGGTCAGTAGTTTGAAGTGGAGATAGCAGGAGTGTATATATCAGAGTGTACAAACCATCAAGAACGTGTCAGTGTGGGTGTGCGTTTTGTGTGTGTACACTGTGTGGTGAAATGCACAACAGAGTGGGAGTGTGGGCTTGATTGAAGAGGTGCAGCTTTCACTTGGATTTTTTTCCCCCTCTCTCAACTCCTGCCTTCCTCCTGTGTGACAAGTCCTCTGAGACATCTCTGCTGCTGCAGCTTTCACTCAGAATGAATCACATAAACATCAGATAGCTGGAATACTTTCATGCAGAATCCTGCTGCAGTCCATGACAATCTGTGCTATAAACACCAGCAAGCTCGTCTCAACCCCAGGACAAGTGGGTGGATTCACTCAGCCAAGCTGGCGAGTGATAGAGTAAGCTGCACTTAAATTCTATAAATGTGCAGATACAGTATATATGTTATATAAATATGTTTTCATAGTTATCTGCATGTTTTTTTCCAAAGTTTTACCTTAAAAATCCAAAGTACATTCACTTCTGTCAGTCATCCAAAATATTCAATTGTGCCTTTAGCAAAAATGCCAACTTATCTCAGTTGCAAGTGCAGTGTATGCAGATAAAAAGTTTGTACTTCTTAAGAGAGATGCCAATGAAAATGCATTGATTTTGAGCCAGTTAGCCTCCACTACCAACACCTCCAGCTGGGACTCTGTCCAAAAGTGAGATCTGGTAAAAGAAAGCATTTGTACTTGATTTCAGTAAGCTGCACGGTCAGGAGAGAGGTTGGTTTATTGTGTTTCTGCTAAAAACAAAAGAAGCTCATTGTTAAGATTATTGGTAGACTTGTTCTAATCATGAATGTGCACACTATCCTAACAATTCCAAACAATTAGGGTTTTGTTTAATCTGTTTCCATTGCAGAGCGGTTTTGACATTACATTGTGAATCTTTAATGATGATTTATTGAGTTTTCTTGTTAACAAATAAGGCGTAAGATGTTTACATTGTGTTGTGCACCAACATTCATTGTGTGTAGGTTTAAGGTCTAACAAATGTCTCATACATTGTCATCTTTATAAAGCATTTCCAAAGCAAACAGTAATATTTTATATTCAGCATTATGTACATCATGTACTAAAGGCACATTGTAGCATACCTTGGCATATCAGTGGATATGTTTTGTTTTATTAAACTACAGTAGAGTAAAGGGATAGCTTTCCTGTAGCAGGAACTTTCTTCTCAGTCCTCAGTCCTTGCTCCTCAGAACAGAAATAAGAGCTCTGGGACATTCTTCATCATGGTGGACTGGAGCGACTTCCGGGTCGAGGGAGCTTCCAGGACTGATGAATGATAAAATAAGGGCATTGGGATTCAACTATAGTATACAGAGCCACAAAGTCTGCCTTAAGAGGAAACACAGCACGTGCCCACTGGAGGCATGTGTTCAGTTCCTGAAACATTGGTTTTTGTTTGTTTGTTTTTTAATCTGTGGCTGTCCCACTAGATTTATTATTGTAGCCCTGATGATGGTTATTTTAACCCAAACTGTGATTGTTTTCTAGATACAGTATGCTTATGGTTGTTACCCTAATGACAAAGGTCTTGTGGTAAGTGTGATGCTGGAAGCACTGTATTGTAGGGCAGAGGCTGATTGTGGCATGTGTACTACAACTTGTCCCTTTCTGTAGTGTGGTTTGTAACAGTTTCTTCTTCACTGGGAGAGATTTGAATGAGTGATGAGATGCTTTTCTGTCATAATCATAAATAATCATAAATGGATTGTTGATTTTTGTCTAGTCGAGTGGTTGTCACGGTGACTTGCCAAATGCACCCGCAGCTTTTGAAGTAGGAGATCAGATGTTTCCCATCTGAACAAACAAGGGAAGAGGATAGAGAGAGAAAGAGAGAGAGGTGACTTTCAGTGGTCAACAGAGCCAGACTGCAGCTGGAATGGTTTTAATGGGGATCTGGCCCCGCTGATGAGATCATATCATGGGTCGTCACCAAGGCCACCTGGGTTAATAATGTCTCCTCAAGGCGGTACATGAACTGTCCTGTCGTGCCAGACTCACACACATATTCACTCACACTTACTCAGACATGCTCACACATATATCAACACACAGTGCGTGGTAAGGGTTACCACATAAATGTGAAAAATGCTGGAGGTTGCGCTCCCAATAATTGATGTATAGACGTGGTCATGAAAATGGTCTCTGTCTTTAGATGGGTGACATGATGGATGCACACTCAGAGGAGCCCCTGGGCCTGTTGGTCAGGCTGCAGCAGTGCTTATAGCCTAACAATGGCACCACACCGTCCCCAAATATCATGCACCACCTCAGTCATTAGGTTATGTCCAAGCAAACATCCTCTTAATTGTTCTTTTTTCTTTATGCATTCCTTTCATATGCGTCATTGTTGCTGACGTAAGAAATACCCATAGAGCAGGAAT